TTGTCGCCCCTACAGGTATTCCCATGTAAATAAATGGCAAACTACCAACAGAGCAATTGATGCTCCTAGCTACCATTTCGATTTCGAAGTCAAACACTTTGCTTTTACATATATTCACCTTAAGCTTGGATGCTAGTTCGAAACACCAAAGTATTCTAATTAGGTTTTTAGCGTTTTGATTCGAGCACTCACTAAGGAAGATCACGTCATCTGCGTATTGGAGATGAGTTATACACGAACCATTTTTTGGAAGAGAAATACCATTGAAGATATGTTGGGCAATGGCTTCCATTAAAGCTACATTAATTTCCTCAGCAGCTAGGATGCACAGAAAAGGAGACAATGGGTCTCCTTGGCGGACACCTCTTTCAAATGGGAATTCTTTAGTAGCAGATCCATTGACGATCACCGAAGCCCGAGCTGACGATAAGTAACCCCAAATCCATCTACACCACTTAGAGCCAAATTTCATTTGTGTCATTACTGAGTCGAGATGTTTCCAATTGACACAGTCGAATGCCTTTTTAAAATCCAATTTGAAAGAGAAAAGCTTTTGACTTGCTTTTCTTTATCCAATATATGACCTCATTTACAATCAGCAGACAATCTAGGATGATACAATCTTTTAAGAAGGCCATTTGGGTAGCGCTGATAATAGACGAAATGACATTCTTTAGTCTCTCGGCTAGCAGTTTTTGAGATGATTTTGTATAGACGCCCAATCAGGCTTATTGGTCTAATAGGACTTGGTAGAAATCATCAAAAATAAAATAAAATAAAAAAAGAACTTCTGTTTGAACTACGGTTTACCGTTTTCGTTATTTATAAGACTTGTACATATAAACCAATTTTCATGAACTACGAAAGATTATGAACCAAATCGACCAATAATTAAAAATATCAACAAATGAAACATAGATAAGGTTGTGAATATTTGAAATTGTAGAACTTATTAGATGTTGGTGATTTGTTTCACTAATTAAATTTAAATGTAATTGGTTGACTTGTTTACTAAAATCAATCTTGATGAATATTAAACAAGTATGGAAGGTGTGGGAATGCACATTTGTTTAAGTTTATTCAAGATTAAAAGTTCACGGTCATTTAGGGACGAAACCCCTGAATCAACGGGGGTTCGGGGGCAGCCCCTCTAGGAGCGGGGTCCAAGTGGCAGCAGCTCCTGGCGGGGTCCAAAGGGCAGAGCCCCTGGCTGTGGTTGAGCTTTGAATTAATCCTTATAGAAAACCCCAATTTATGACAGTTTTTTGATTGTTGGAAAACTGTTTTATGATAGTTTTGATAGTTTTCAGACAAAGGAGGTATTTAACCAATTTTTGGTCAGTTTTTTTGTACTCATGAAATTCATACTTCTTATTCTCTATTTTGAATCTCTTCTGAGTCTTATCCAATCAAATATTAGCTAGTACCACCCAAATACTTTTATTTGAAAGTGAAATCACAATTCTCAGAATATCGAAGTGCCTTTATTAACCCGAAATTCTAATAAAAATCAAAGTATTTTGTGATCATGGAAAGTGGTGAATATGTGAAGGACGTGATAAGCAAGTTTGACAAACTGAACAAGTTTCAAGGACAAGATTTTTGTAGATGGCAGAACAAGATGCACTTTCTCCTCACTACTCAGAAGGTGGTGTACATTCGAAGTGTTCCCCAAACCATATCAGAAAAGAAAGTTAGAGTGCACGCCGCAGCATCTCGCCTTGCCTTTACCCATAGGCTCCGATGTACCTGAAACAAATTCAGAGACGGTAAGCTGAAAACTTAGTGTGTCCCCCAGAGCATACTCCACACGAACCACATATCACATTGGTAACACTAGTCAAAATAGGTGAATAACAATCACGTGTGATTATACATATGAAAATACATAAACATACGTAATACACATATATATACATAAAAATACATATATACATACAAATACACATACAAATACACATCTACAAAATCAATATTTCATCGAGAACAGTGGTGGTTGCGGTATATTCCGGAGAGAAGGTTGAGGGATCTCAAAGTTTCGACAACCATCTCAAATGCTAGAAATTTAGTAAGGAGAAGCGAAAAAAAAATGAGAAAAATGGAGCAAAGAGGGGTGAAATTGTGAAGTTTACTTTGAAATTCCGATAAGGTCGACGATGGTGAGCAAAGAGAATAAGAGAAAACACTGAAGATCGGGAAAGAAAGTGAGAACGAAGAGGGTTTTATTGTCGACAACTTTTAGCAACAACGCGTGCTCATTGGCAGTGACACGTGGGAGGGAAAACAACGTAGGGTTTTCTACGTCGTTGGATCATCGCTTAAATCAACGGATATGATTGAAATGATGCGGATCGCCAAAATAAGCCTTTAGCGGCGACGTGCACTCTTTAGTGGCGATACACCGGAGGGAAAACAACACAAGAGTTCTTATGTCATCATAGTCGTAGGATCATATCCTAAATCGACGGATGAGATTGAAATGACGTGGATCGCCAACAAAAGCCGACGAATACTGTAACATCCAAAAAATACTGTCCAAAAGTTTTATTTTTAAATTAAGAAATATAAACCATTTGTCTGAAAATCACATAGTAAATATATATATATGTCAGCCAATGTATCCAAAAAGATATCATAACAAAATCATATGAGAGTATAAAACTCATAGATCATTGGTGCGGAAAAGTAAAACATCCAATTGCTTGATGATACATAAAACTTAAAGATCAAGAAGAGGATATGCTTGGAGTGCGCAGAATAACTTCATGAAAAACAATCCTTATTGTTGTCTAAAAGCGAATTGGAAAAGGAAGTATTATTAAGTCCTTCGCTTTATTTATTTCATTTCATTATATTCCAGTTACCAATGCAAGAATCAACTAGAGCACTATATACCTTTTCATTTATCTATATTAATTACAGGTTGTTTACCAAGAGATATAGTAGATACTATGAAAATGCCTGGACATACAAGGATGCAAGTTGCAAGTTGCAAGTCGCCTTCAGGTTAGCTTCTCATAATAAATTTACTAATGTTGATAACCATAATACCTACAATTATAATAAATGACCTATTGGAAACCACGATTTATTATGAGCAACCAAACCAGCCTTTGTATGATGTTTACTGCTTATCATAATATATTATAATACACCCTTTGTATGTTGTTCTAAAAACATGATTTACTATATATATCAATAGATGTTAAGTTTCCATGGTAAACAAAAGATTTCGATTAGCATTTTGCTATGTGTATATATATATATATATATATATATATATATATATATATATATATATATATATATATATATATATATATATATATATCTTATCATCTTGGTGCATGTTCTTTTTGTTATCTTTTTGTTATCTTTTTGTTTGTCTACCACATGCTTGATGAAATGTGAGAGTAACTAACTCCTAGAAACACAACAACATGCTCGATGTATGATCTTCGTGTTTTTTTTTCTTCTTATCTTTTTGTTCTTCTACATGCTTGTATAATGATATTTCCCGTATTTTAGAAACACCATACATTTGAAAAAAGTAAGAAATAGTGCTGCACTTTTAATTGAAAGTTCTATATTTTTGGTAAACTGCGGGAAACATAATACTTCATCTTTTCTACCAATATAGGCAATGTGTTTTGATTATTATGTTCCTATAATGGATTAAAAGTAACATATGTTGTTATTATTGTCTAAGAGTAACGACTGCAAACTACGTTATAATTGTGGTTTAAAATAAACTACATTTACTAATTATATATGTTTGTCTTACCTTTGTTTTGTCTTATCATTTATCATGTGGGGTAGCTAGTTGGAGGTATAAGTTCAAATGCATTGCAAGTACAAATGCAACGAAGACTAACACAACTTGAAAAGCAATTGGCGGTTTTTATGTGAGAATTCATTAACCATATGTTAATCCACCAAATGATTCTTAGCTTTTATGTTTTAAACACTTAACAATGTATTTGACACTTTATTGTAATGTTTATTTTTTAAAAATAATATTTTTTTATATGCTAAACACTTAGTAATGTATTTGACATTCTGTAATTTAATGTAATGAATTTTTACTTTTTTTGGCTGAATAAATGATTTTTTTTTTCTTTCTTTCTTTTTTTTTTTAAAAACAAAAAAGGCATTAGTGACGGATTACCATTTGGTATTCCATTGGTATAAGTAAATTACCTACGGAACACGATGAATTTGTGTGTTGGTAAATCGCGATTTTCTAGTAATTGATTAATGAACATAGTTAAACAAATTTCTAATTTATTGAATTTTTCACCCATGGTTTGTATCACGAGGCATTGATACTTGGCAATATATATGTGTTTTTATTAAAAGTTTTCCAAGTTATATTTTGATTGTTTAGCACGTTGGATCAATACGGTTTTACATCTACTTATTCATTTGAATGTTTAACACACGTTAATAAAATATCACATATACTTTGTCGAATAAAAGTTCTACACCAAAAGGCATTCGTTCTAACGCTAAAAATTGAGGGCTTAAGGATAGTTTTGGACTAGAATTTAGAAAATAAATAAATTAAAAAAAAAAAAAAAAAAAAAAACATAATGACTTTATATGATTAGATAAGAACAAACACACAGATCTCCATTGTCAATATAATATAACACATATCAATCATCAAAAACTTCAAAGACATATTTGAAATGGCATCACTTTGCTTCATCAGCAATGTATACCTTTTACAATATAAATTCTAAAATCCCACAGGATTCACCATATTATTATGTTTATTATTCCGATAGCAACTAAGTCGTGAAACAAAGGGATTTCGCATCAACGAAAACTTAATGAATAACCTCCACAACAATTTCAAACAACACACAACAAACAAGAACCAAAACCACTATCGACCTCGTGATCATGATATATATATATATATATATATATATATATATATATATATATATATATATATATATATATATATATATATATATATATTCTTGCTTCTCCTAAACATTTAAATCCTTACGGCTACCTTTATCTTGACAGTAAATAGGGTCTCCTTTGCATCCCTTTTTCTTACCGGCATTGTAAGACTTTGATCCCTTGCCGTCAACGGCCTTACCTTGATTCATACCTTTATAAGTGATATGGCCACCGGTTTTTTCTGCCTCCCCCATAATCCACCTATTTATTTCTGTATCCATCTGAAACTCGATCTCTTCGTCGAACTCAACAACATGGATGCACTCCACCGTGGTGCTGCCGTTGCATGGCGTCATCCACCCATCACACTCTTTCACCATAGTCGTCATCATCATCATCGTCATCATTGATAGTGATAACATGGCTGTAGTGAAGCTGATAGGGCTTCGTCGTCCATTGATGATCACCATCTTCGTTTTCTGACGAGAATTAGGGTTTGGATGGTGTTTCAGTTCTAGATCATTCCTTATAATGAAGTCGTTAATGGAATTGCTTTGTTGGATAGCGAGCTACCTTTTGCTTAGTTTATATATATATTTTTTCTTTACCATATTATTTCTTTTATATATTATAATTTATTAGCACCCATTCATTACTTTTGTAGTAAAGGATAAGGAGAACCTATACTGTGACCTCTTTTTTTTTTTTTCCTTGAATTCCTCTTTTCATAAAGCTAGCTACCCTCTCTTTTACATAAGTAAATCATTTTTGTGTTCACCGACGGTTTTAAGTCCATGTTTTGCACCTAGAGCTTATATAATTAGTGATACATGTGTAAAAGGTTATTTTTTATTTAACAAATTAATATAAAGGGTTAAAAAATTATTTCCTACCGAACAACCTAGTACAAAAAATTATTTTCTGCAAAGTACCAAGACAAATGGATCAGTTTTTTTTGTCTTACTATTAGTAAATTTTGTTTTAACCCATTGTGTATTGGCCATTTCTATAATTTTACAATTACGTAGAGATCATTTTTTAAATTCTATAAAAAATTAAAAACACATGTAGCACTTATGAAATATTTTCATTTTGCCTATGGACCATTATGTAAGTTTTATGGGATAAGGGTGACTATTTGAAACGAACTGAACAAAACAGGACAAACTTTTGGACGAGATGTAATTTGGTAGAAATTAGTGGATCTTGGACTAGACCGATAATCGGTCCAAATTTGGGTTTTCCGGTTCTTGTACCCGTTAGACCGGTACAATTTTATATCTGTATGTATGATACAACTTGTTGAAAGGCAACCGAAAGTTAATTTATTTATTATGATTGTATGGGTGAATATTTGGATCAAACTGGTTTTTCAAAAATTTGTGGACCTTAGACCGAACCTGTTGACGCCACCGGTCCAAGGGTTTAAATGTTCACCTCTACTCGTAAGTCGTAACTATTTTTGTTATTTTGTTTTACACTGTTACAAGGGTCATTTTTGTAAATTTAGTATTAAGTATGCATTATTTGTGACATTTTTATTTCTTGCTATTACAAATGGATGAACTGTTTTTATAAATTTATCTTATGCATATATACATTATTTCTATAAATTTATTACTAAGTGGGCACCTTTGCTGTAATGTTTATTTCAATCTAATATAAATGGACATTTTCTATAACTTTACTATTCATAACAGACTATTTCTATAATTTTGCTTTTACACAAAAATCATTTTTATACTTTTACAAATTAGAAAGAGCATTTTTTTTATGTGAATTTAGGCCAAATAAAAAACACCGTAAATATAAAAGTATAAAATGTCTATGTACACTACGAATGTTAAAAGGACCATGCTAAGATTTGGGAAACGATATTTAGGCTCTAGTTTTTTTTCTTTTTTTTTTTTTTTTGAACAGCAAAATGCATTAGATAAATCAAAACCAGCAGTGACTGTAACATTATAGTACCAATAAAGAAATCATCAAAAACAACAAACAAAATGCAGCTAAACTACAAGGCCAACTAATGTATAAAACCCCGGAAGGCTAACACCAAGGGTAATTTCGTCCACAACACCCATAGAATGAAGTGACCAACCACTAAAGTTTCTCAAGTGATAATTCAAAAACCAAAACCCATTCTCCAGCTATCATCCTGAGAGGTTTTGTCAACAATCTCCAACCGAACATCAGGGGCAAAATGGTCCAGCTGCAACCTTTAACAAAAATAGAAGAGAACCAGGATACACTAGGAATTGTAGACTTCGAAAGATCCCACAACTCACACCTATGTAAAGACAGTACCCCGGGAAAGAAATGACTGAGGTCAAATGGATAAAGACCATTGCAACTCCCTGGATTTCATAGCATAAGGCAGGTTCAATCAGAAAATAAAATCATATCGACACCGGTTTGGCAATTCCTCATGGGGGGATGAATCAAGAGAATTTTGAATTAGAACTTTAGATTTTTGTTCATCCCTCGCTGCAATAGTATCTCGGGGTTTGCAGCGATAACTTGGTATATCTACTATACGACCATTGACTAAAATATGTCTATGGTTAACTAATTGGCGAGCTCCCGGAATAGTCGGAGCCATACCCAAGCGAAAAAGAATGTTATCAAGGCGCATTTCAAGTAATTGTAGTAAAACCTGACCTGTTGACCCTTTTGCCTTTCCGGCGATATGAAAGCACAACCAGAACAATACATTCCAAACTTAAGCACAAGCACCACATTATTTGCAATCTTAGCTAAGAGACTTGAAGTAGCTCCCTGATGGTCATTCAATTACAATCGACTATCTAGAAAATTAGGAGGAAAAAGATCAACTATTGGCATGTAACCACCACAAACTCACATGAAAACCTAACTCACAAGAACCGAATAGAGAAACAACATACGCACGCCCAAAGGAAATACTAGAACCCTACTCACACACCCATGTATGAAGATACACGAAGGAAGTGCAACTACTTGCAGACAACAAACCCATAGAAGTCTACCCAAAAGAACTGAAACACACACCAAACGCACACATGTCTGGAAGAACGCACACCACAAGACACCACATATAAATATAGGATCAAAACACCATTCCATACATCCGATTGCATTGTTTTTTATTCTGGAACTTCTTCATAAATGGGATAAGGATTGAATTTCATTTGACAAACCTTTATAAGATCGTAGATTGCTTGAGTGAACTTTCAAGTTCCTGTGATTCCAAATGATCCAAATATAAACCAGCATGATGGCCGATTGGATTTGGGTAAGCCCATTGTTACTGGAGACTTTGTTTTTCCAGAAGAACAAGTCAGACACTGATACCAGCGAATTAGGGAGAAGATACCACCAGGCTTTGAGATTACGCCACACTTCATTTGAGAGGAATAGATGAGTTGCTGATTCTGTTACTTGATTACATAGGGCACACATGTTACTATTTACAATCCCCCGTTTTAGAAGGTTCTCTCTAGTTGGGAGCCTATTGTGTGCTAGCCTCCAAGCCAGAATATTGACTTTCCAATCCCATTTTACCAGAAACTTAGGTAAAATAGAAATGTGAATGTGAAATCTTAAGGAGGACACCGTATATTCTCCAGACGTTTCTAAACTCCACCTCCACGATGGTTGTTGTTTGGACTGGGTCTCTATAAAGAGGCTTTTGAAGTCAACATGATCTTTCAAGAGGGTTGCAGGTAAATTTGCTATAGTGCCCCAACAAGAGCCTTTTCGTTTAGCCCTAGACGGGGCATTAAATCCACCATCATAACCGTATATTGTATTGATCACTGATTTCCATAACTCCTGCCTATCATTCTTGAACTGCCACCACCATTTTCCAAGCAAGGCCAGGTTTTGGGCCTTAAGACTACCAATGTTTAGACCGCCATCTTCTATTTTAGAGAGAACCTTTTCCTAGCCAATCCTAGCTAATTTTACCTTCTCAGATGAACCACCCCAAAAGAAATACAACCTCACTTTTTCTAAGGATTTTATCACTTTAACCGGGGCTTTATATTATGAAACCAAAAATGTTCCAAGACTTCCCAGCCCAGATTTACATAAGATTAATCTACTGCCGAAGGAGATTGTTGAAGACTTGCATTTGGAGAGTCTGGCTTGAAATTTATTTAATAATGTTCCAATGGGAAATTCTCGATATTGTCGCCCCTACAGGTATTCCCATGTAAATAAATGGCAAACTACCAACAGAGCAATTGATGCTCCTAGCTACCATTTCGATTTTGAAGTTGTGTATTCTGATACCAAACACTTTGCTTTTACATATATTCACCTTAAGCTTGGATGCTAATTCGAAACACCAAAGTATTCTAATTAGGTTTTTAGCGTTTTGATTCGAGCACTCACTAAGGAAGATCACGTCATCTGCGTATTGGAGATGAGTTATACACGAACCATTTTTTGGAAGAGAAATACCATTGAAGATATGTTGGGCAATGGCTTCCATTAAAGCTACATTAATTTCCTCAACAGCTAGGATGAACAGAAAAGGAGACAATGGGTCTCCTTGGCGGACACCTCTTTCAAATCGGAATTCTTTAGTAGCAGATCCATTGACGATCACCGAAGCCCGAGCTGACGATAAGTAACCCCAAATTCATCTACACCACTTAGAGCCAAATTTCATTTGTGTCATTACTGAGTCAAGATGTTTCCAATTGATACAGTCGAATGCCTTTTTAAAATCCAATTTGAAAGAGAAAAAGCTTTTGACTTGCTTTTCTTTATCCAAGATATGACCTCATTTACAATCAACAGACAATCTAGGATGATACAATCTTTTAAGAAGGCCATTTAGGTAGCGCTGATAATAGACGAAATGACATTCTTTAGTCTCTCGGCTAGCAGTTTTTGAGATGATTTTGTATAGACGCCCAATCAGGCTTATTGGTCTAATAGGACTTGGTAGAAATCATCAAAAATAAAATAAAATAAAAAAAGAACTTCTGTTTGAACTACGGTTTACCGTTTTCGTTATTTATAAGACTTGTACATATAAACCAATTTTAATGAACTACGAAAGATTATGAACCAAATCGACCAATAATTAAAAATATCAACAAATGAAACATAGATAAGGTTGTGAATATTTAAAATTGTAGAACTTATTAGATGTTGGTGATTTGTTTCACTAATTATATTTAAATGTAATTGGTTGACTTGTTGACAAAAATCAATCTTGATGAATATTAAACAAGTATGGAAGGTGTGGGAATGCACATTTGTTTAAGTTTATTCAAGATTAAAAGTTCACGTTCATTTAGGGACGAAGCCCCTGAATCAACGGGGGTTCGGGGGCAGCCCCTCTAGGAGCGGGGTACAAGTGGCGGCAGCTCCTGGCGGGGTCCAAAGGGCAGAGCCCCTGGCTGTGGTTGAGCTTTGAATTAACCCTTATAGAAAACCCCAATTTATGACAGTTTTTTAATTGTTGGAAAACTGT